TACTGCCTCAGAAACCCAAGGAGGGGTCACTATGAGTTGGGTCTGACACGATGGCACATAACAACAACAACAAAAGCACAATTAAAAAAGAAAAAATTCTCTGAAACACATGACTATGGAATTAACTTGACTGCAACTGGTATTGTTTTGTTTGTAAGCTACCTAATAGTTCTAACATGCTTTGATTCTAATATGCAGGAAATTACCACTCAAAGAAGATTATACATAATTCTTCATATAACCAATTTAATTGAACAAATTGTTTGCTGATGTAGCAATAACTCAGTAATAGAGAAATTAGCATATGCTTTCTAGCTCAGTACCTGGAAGAAATTAGGTGGGGGGACAAAAACAACCTGTGGCTAAGTGTGACTACAGACATGCCACATAGTCTAATATTAATATATGGAATTGGTGGGAAAAAAATCAATGCGCTAACGATAACTATAATAGACTGATTATTTTGAACCTGTTTATCAGACCATTTTTGTTTTCATTGAGGTTAATCCAGTAGATTAAAGGTGTTATTGCTGCAATATACTCACTAAAGCTTTCTTCCTAAACTTACAAACATAAACTGTTGGGCTCTGATGTTTGAAATGAATGAAGCACTTGAAATCCTTTAGGAACTCTGGTGGTGCAGTGCCTAAGGCATTTGCCTGCTAACCAGAAGGTTGGTAGACCAAACACACCAGCCACTCCATGGAAGGAAGATGGTGCAATCTACTTCCGTAAAGATTTACCGAAACCCCTACTCCCCCCCCACTCAAAAAAAAAGGAGGCAGGATTGCTGTGAGTTGGAATAGACTCAGTGGCAGTGAGTTTGGTTTGGTTTGAGGACTCATTGGAACACCAACAGCACATGGATGGCATAGTGGTTAAAGCAGAACACAGAGACCTGATGATGGAGTGAGGATTTTTCACTAATAGAAATTAGTACGTAGCTATACAATAACTAGGAGGAGGAAAAATAGGAAGAAGAGGGAAAATGGGAGAAAGAGAGAGGGGGAGAAGAGAGAGGGAGAGCCCTAACAGCTAAAAGTTAATCACTAAGCTGTAGTGTTTGAAT